CTTTGTAACAACCTTTCTAAATGTTTCAATTAATGCTATCAGGTAGATATTGTTTAAACTATATCTCTACTTTATATCTTTTGGTATTATGTAAACTTGTACTATTTTCTACTTTATTGGGATTTCTCCTATTTCTAAACATAGATCTGCAAAACTTCTGAAAATTTCTTGTGTTTTCACTCCTGCTCTTTTGATTAGTATATAGCTTATACCTGAAATATCAGGAGCTGTTCCTATCTTTAACTCTCTTAATGTCTCTTCCTATTTTTTTTCTTTAATTTTTTCTTCGAGTTCCGTATACTATTTCTTTCTAATGATTTCTCTTAGTTTGTATATCTCTTTCTACTTTTCTGTCATTGTTTCTAGTTTGGTATTTTTTTTCCTAAACTGCAACTTATAATGTTCTGCTACATTAGTTTTAATCTCTTCTGGCTTCATTATTAGATATGTCCTTTCTTCTATTTGCTTAATAAGCCTATTAAGCAATATCTTTTTGTATGGTTTATTTAGAAGGCTGGCAAGTGTTTTTTCTTGGTCTGTTTTGATCATTTCACATCATTTATCTATATTTTCTTTTATTTGCCTTCTTTGCATTTGTTCTTAGTTCTTTTTCTTTCTTTTTTGTAAGACCTTCTGCTAACCTTTTATGTCTTTTATCTAAGCATATGATCAGTGCCTTTGTAATTTTGGCAGTTTTGCTTCTGTTTTGTTGCCTAGTGCTTTTAATTGTTTATTTGTTTCAATTCTTTTTTCTTCTGTTACTTCTTGGTTTTTCCTTGTCTTTGCAAGTTTAATTAATTTTTGCAGCTTTATGATATCTTTTTTCTGTTGTTATGCTTTTTAACTAGTTTTTCTATTTGCCACTGTATCATATATTCTTTTCTTGGATATGTGCTTATTTGCTGTAATAATAATTGCTTCTTCTATTGTATTCCATATACTGTTTATCTTGTTTAACTGTTCTTTTTTGTCTTACACTTCTTTTTGAATATCTTTTAAGCTTTTTTTTGTTACTAATCACCTTTGTAGTTCTTGTACATCATTTTTTCAATCTTCTGACTTTGCCTAATCATATAAATATAATGTTCTTGATTGTCTTTTCTTTTTAATTTCTGCTTTACTGTTTTTCCTTATTATGTGTTTGATTCATATTTTTGCAGTTATTATTTTATGATCACTTTCTGTAATTTTTTCTGTTTTCTCAATGTTTGCCCTTTGCAAACCCCAAAGCCAGTTTTTTTAATATCCAAATATAATCAATTCTTGTTGCAGCTTTCTTATTTGACCATGTATACTCTTGACTTGTTAGATGCATATTCCTATATATGTCTATAAAGCTTTGCTTTCTTATCTAATTAAAGATCAGTAATCTTTTAAAATTTGCTGATTGTAAGTGTTGTCTGTCTATTACATTGTCCACTATATAATTAAAGTTATCCATAATTACAAATTGTGTTTGTTTTTTTTGTTTAGTACCCCTTTCTACAATCTTTTGCTAAATGATTCTCCTCATCATCTTGTTACTTAATGGTATATAAATTTCTATTACCACTAACTTCAATTGCTTGAAGTATAATGTAATCTCTATTATGTATTCATTTATTCTTTTGATAGTGCCTACATGCTTTTTCCATTGTTCTTCTATTAGAATTCCTATACCTGATTTTTTTTTCTTATCTTCTGCTGCATTTGTCCAATATTCTATATAATTTTTGTTTGTTGCATATGTTAAAAATCTTTCTTCTCTTTCAAAAATATTCATTTCTATAATTCTCAATATTGCAATTTCTTCTCCTTCTGTCTAGTTTAATAAGTTTTCAAGTTTCCAACCTTTGGTCTTCAAGTCACTGATATTATAATATACTATTTTGATTTTTTTTTTTTTTTTTCTATTTTTCTTTTAGTTGTTTTTGTTTTGCTTCTATATTGTTAGTTTTTTTGGTTACTTTTCTTTCCCTTAGATAAGAAGATATTTTTTGTTCTTTTCCTTCAAACATTTTCCTTTTCATTTGTAAAAAGGCTTCAATCTTCTTATCTGTATTTCTAAATTCAACTAAGACACCCTTAGGAGTGATCTGCTGAATTTCTCCTCACTTCTAGCTGCATTTTTTCTATTTTATCTAGTCTCTTTAATATTTGATACAAGACATTTTCCACTGATAATGTTCTTTCTTGATTTAGTATATTTGTTTTGGCTTTCTTCTTCTTTGTTATTGCTGCTTCTTCCTTTATATCTGTGTTTTTATCCTCTAACTATGCTTCTATATTTTGTAACTGAAGGTTACTTTTCATTTTTTTATATCTCTTGGTTGGTGTTTCATATCTTGTGCCTCTGATTCTCAATGCTTCTTGTCTTTTGTATTTTGACTATCTTTCATTGCTTAACTTTGATCTTTCTTGTTTTTTGCCTTTTGACTCTTCTTTCTTATAGGTTTTTCTTTTTCTAGAATTTTTTCAACTTACTCAATAATTGTTGTATCATATTGGTGTTGTTTGAGCTATCTTTGCTTTTTGAGTATTTGCAAAGGTAATTATTGCAAATTTGTTTTGGTTTCCATTTCTGTTAAATGGTTTATATACTACCTTTGCTTTTTTATTTCTTAGACATCTTAATAAAAGCACTTCTGATGCTTCTTTAGAAATATCTAGTAATTTTGCTGTAAACTGACTTTGTTTCTCTCTTTGCATATAGTCTTCATTTTCTTTTGTTACTCTTGCTAATTTATTGTTGCCAAGAGGTAATGCCTATATGTTGTCTTTCTCTTTTCTATAATTTGCTGCTATAACTGCTAGTGCTTTGTATTATGATCTTTTGATTTATATTATATGCATATTTCTTATATTTCTGCACATATATTTCAGTTCCTTTTCATTAATGTTCAATGATAAGTTTCAAATTGTTAAGAATTTTGTTGTTTCTGCTTCTTCTAGTCTTTTTGTTTGCCATCTTTTTGCTTCTGTTTTAGCCTTATCTTGCCTTTTTATTTTGCTTTGTTGTGTTATTTTTTGGGGCTTTTTCTATTTTGGGTCTTTAGATTTTTTTCTTTGTTGTTTATTCTTTACTCTGTACTTATTCATTGCTTCATCTTGCTCTTTCTTACTTTCTACTTGGTTTTGTGTTTCAACTAAAATCAGATTAAACCACCCTTTACCTTTTGCTTTATTCAATTAATTGCTTCTTCTCTTTCTCTTTTGCAATTAAATGATACTTCAATCTAACTATTGCCTTTTACAAAGACTTCTTTAATTTTTATAATATGTCTGTTTGCATTAAGCATCCATTTTACCATGCCTGTTCTTTTTGGCTTTGTTCTACTTAGAACATTATAGGCAGGAATTTTTGCTATTATTGGTGTTTCATTGTTATATGGTCTGTTTCTAATGCCCAGATGCTTTGCTCTAATGGTACTTCTGCTGCATCTTCTTGCAATATTGTTAAATCTTCTTTGTTTTTTTTCTTTTCTTCTGCTTCTGTTTCATATTTTTTGAATCCTTCTTCATATTTTTCTCTTTTTTCATTTTTTTTTGTTTCAACTATTTCTTCTGCCTGGATTATGTTTTTTGTTTTTCTTTCTCTCTGCTGTTGTAAGCTATCCTCCATTTTAAAGCTGAAATCTATCAATTTACTTCTTTTGTTTACCTATGTGATAGCTTTACTTAATGCTCTTTCTGTTGCTATATCTGCTACATCTGTTGCAAACAGTAATGCTGTATATCTGTCTATTCTTGTTTTTATAATATCGGTTGTTTCTAGTATTTTGACTAGCTCTGCATTGCCAACTCTTTGTAAGCTTTGTGCTATTGATCTTTCTAACACCTTTTCTAATAGGCTCTTAGATCTTATTTCATATGTATTTCCTTCTACACTAATTGTTGTCATTTTATTCATCAGTTGGTTTAATATAGCTGTCTCTATATTATATGCTTGCTTTGATAGACTATTTCTGTATATATGCTTGTTTGTTTACCTTACTTGTTTTGTTGTATTTTTCATGTAACCTAATTGATCTGTGCAACAGAATCACAGAGATTTCCTAAAATTTACAAAAAATTTTTGTTTTTGTCATAAAAACTTTTTATTTTTTCAAGCTCTGCTACCTTTAAGCTTTTTTATTTGTATTTTGTTCTTTAGTTAGGTGTAACTTTTGTGGCTTTTTCTTTTTTGCTAAGAGTCTTAGTATTGCTTCTTAGTGTGTTTCGCAATATTTTCTACATTTTACTTCTCACTAATTTTTGGTTAAGGGATCTATAAGAGAGAGTCTGTTGATATTACAAGTTTATCATTAATATAATTGTTATAAATATTATATATTATTTATTCAATTTAAAATATTTTAGATTAAAATATTATATAAATATTAGCAAAAAAGTATAAAATAAAATAAATTTTAATTTTAATATAAATAAGTATTATACAATTTCATCTATTTTATAATTTAAAAAATTAAACTTAATAATTAATTTTATTCTTTACTTTACAATATTTAGAATATTTTTTTATAACTTTAGTCTTATTTATCTATATAACTTTTATTTTAAACTAAATATAAAAAAATTAACTAAGTTTAAAATATCTAAATTAGAAGAAATATTAGAACTAAAAATAACTGAATTATAAGTTGTAGAAATATTTAATCTGCAAAATAATAAATCTTTTAATGTTTTAAAAAATATTTTATAAAAATCTTTTTTATTAACAAATAGTATAATTATTAACTTTTTTTGCTTTAAAGATTCTTAATATGTATAAGATATTGGGCATATAGTGGCCAATATTGATGTTATTAGGCAATTACTATTTATAACATCACTGTTTAATTAAGTCTAATTTAAAAAAAAAGATATTAATTCAAATTAAATATTTTGTTTTTTTTACAATTTATTTAATGCTAAAACAAAAGATAAAAATTTAGTTATTTTTTTATTCTAATTAATATATTAATTTAATTTTACTTTATTGGAAATTTACTTATACTAAACCAATAGCTCAAAATCTTTAGCAAATTCGCAAGTCAGGAAGAGTTCAAGCAATACATCATGCAACCAAAGCATGGGTTAATGCTCTTGAAACATTTTGTGCTGATGTTGGATATTCTGGAAAGATTGAAGATATTAATGACAAGAATACTCTTGAAAATCAATTGTTCAAATTTATTGTTGCAATGAAAAAAATTGATGGAGCTTCTTATCATGCATCATTAATTCGAAATTGTGCAGCTGCCATTTGAAAGCATCTTAATGAAAAATCTATATTTTTAAAACCAATTAATCTTCTTAACCCAAAGGCGTTTTACTTATTTAATAAAACTTTAAATGGAAAGTTAAAATCTCTTGCTTCAAAAGGACTTGGAGAACATAATAAAGCTGATAGTCTTACTTTACATAAAGTTCAAGCAATTCTTTCTCATTCAAGTCTTCAGAAATCTACTCCTAAAGGACTTTTAAAACATACATTTTTTTATAATTTTATATTTTTAGTACTTCATGAAGGTGAACACCAAACTTTATAAATAAATAATTTTATTAAACATCATAATAGAGAAATAGATGTTCAACTTTTTAATTCTAAAACAAATCAGTATAGTTTGGATAATCCTAAAGCACAAGCAAAACTTCTTAGTCTTTCTAATATAAAAGATATTATAGATAATTATAATTTTTATATTATAAAAAGACCATCAACAGCACTAGTAAATTTTTATTTAAAGCCATGCTGAGTAGATAAAGGTAATTAAATTAATAAGTACTAATTTACTTTTTAAATATCTAACAAAAGATTTTTTTAAGTTTTATTTAGTACTCAATAGTATTTTAATCAGCCATATTCACAAAAGGCATTATGTAGTCTTTTTTATTCAATTTGCAAGAATACAGGTTTAGATTTGACAAGTCAACAGATTAGTAATCATTCTGGACATAAAACATCTGTGCAAGTTCTTAAAGAATTAGGATATAGTAATGCAGTTGTAATATCTATTACATGACATAAAACACAATGAGGCCTTGCAGCTTATGAGTGATCAAAAGCAGTTATGCAACATCAAGGAATTTCAGGATTTTTAGATGTGATCAAGATTAGACAAATGAATAATCATAAAAATGATAAATTTTAAATTAAATTAATTTATTATTTTAAATTAGACTATAGATAAACTCTATATTTAATTCATATATAATTTTTAGACTATAATGAATCTTATTAAAATACTATTAACCAAGGAAATAATCTGAATATGTATAATCTTACTCTTATAAATTCATTTGTAAATGCAAAATCTTTATTATCATAGCAAGATATGATTATTAAAAATAATTTATTATAATTATTAATTCTTTTTAATTAAAATTTTATTTATATAGACATGAACCAACAAGAATCTGTTTCTCAAACTAGTTCCTCATCTAAACATGACCAACAAAAAGTTCTTACTCAATTATCTTTAATAAATATTCCCATTACTGAGCATGAACAAATAAATAATACAAGTACACAAAACCAAAATAAAATTCTCAATGAATTTCTTTATAGCAATTTCCAAAATTGTACTATTCATTTGCATTTTTAAATTATGTATTATTTGCATTTTAAATAATGTATAATTTGCATTTTAAATAATAGATTATAAATATGTAGCTTTACAATTATATTTTATATTTTAAAATGTATTATGTATTAAAATTAGAAACATTATATAAATAATATATTTGTATATTGTTAATTGGCATTGTTTAAAAATCTTATTAATTATAATGTCATTTTGTGTTTATAATATCAAAGCAATTTAAAATAGCTTAATAGTGCTGTTTGCCTGATAAGTAATGTTATTTTTAATCAAACATTTTTGTATTAGTTATAATTTCTAATATATAAGTCTAAAACTTATTATTATTATATTTTTAACTATAAAACTAATTATTGTCAAGCAATATATATTTAGATAATTCAAGACTATATTTTTTAATAAATATTTTAGTTAATATAATATTAAGTTTTTATTACTAAGCAATATTATTTAATATTATTATTTATTTTTTTCTAATAATTATTTAGACCAAGTTTTTCAAAAAGCTGAATTATAAAAAAATAATAAAATTAATATATTAAATTTTATGAAATCTTTTCTAAAGTATTGAATATATATAGTAAACATTGAAATAGAGTTTAAAAAAGTTATTACTTTGTAATGACAGTTTAAAAGCATTCTAGAACTATAAAAAAAAAAGATTAGTAAAAACCAAAAGTTTCTTATAAAGTAAACAACAAAATTGAATATATTATTTTTATACAACTATAAAACTTGTAAGAAATTTTTAAAAGAGTTAAATGTTAAAGTTTGGTTTACCTTATGCTTTTACTTTTTTTTAAGAAAATTTTATAAAATATAGGCAATTTAGTTTACTTACTTCAAAAGATTAATATATAAAAACACAAAACAGTTAGCAGTATTTACTTTCTAATTAAGATTATATAAATAATATAACAATACAAATATGACTTATATATATATCTTAAATTACTAAAACCTTATAAAATACTACTTTCAAACTAACTAATAACCTACTTATATTGACTTTTTATATTTAAGTTAAAGTTTTATTATATATATATTTTTTTTGTTAAAGGTCATACTTTGTAATAATACTTTATTGACTTTTATTAGGTTAGTTATTACAACTATTTTTACAAAAATGAGAATACAACTAGTCATATATACAACTTTTGATTACTTATTTAAGTAGTCTGTCCTAGAGTTCTATATTAGATGTCATACTTATAACCTACTAGGAGATTATTCATTTAAACTCTCTAATTATCTGTCCTGTTATGATATAATTCCAACTAATCCTCTATATATACCTAACTGATATACCATCTGAGTAGTATAATACCTAACTTTTTTGTACTGGTTCTCAGACTATTATATATTTCAGAGTATGTTATCTGCCAATAAGGTACAAAGAACTCTCATTATTAACTATTTACTTATTTTTAAAACACTAACAAGAACTATCCTTATAGAGTTTATTCAAACTCTGCTACTGACTTCACAGTATATCTCTAATACTTTTAGTATATCCTTGCTTTGACTTCAGACTTTCAATTCAGATAGTCTAGAAGGACTGTAACTTGTCCTTAATATATTAAGACCAACCTAATATTCTTTTCTTCTGGTTTGAAATCTAATGACCTAGTTGACACTACCCCTCATCTGAGGTTTTTTCTGCCTGATTCTTTTATATTGATATCTATTTTCTAGGTCTAGCCTTTATAGTAGTACTATTGAAGATCTGTATTACCTCTTTGCTCAAAATTTTTAAGTAAGCTCTGACTTTTCAATTCTACAGATTTATATGACCCAAGGACTTATTTTAGATTTGCATCATTCAGTATTAATTTACATTTCTCTGTGTAATAAGTTACATAGATGTTTTAAACCTGTTAGTCATGCTGATGTGAACATAGTTACAAGTACCTATCCTAACTAATTAACAGAATACTATTACTATAATACTGTCTATATATTACATAAGTGATTATTCAAATTTTATCATCAGTAGGTTTTGAACTCACAACCTACTACTTGAAGGGATGACAACTTATCCACTTTACTAAGTCATCATATCCTCTATATAGTTTTTATTAAATATTCTAAATAAATAAAAAAATAGTAGAGTTAATTCTATTTAGTATAATTTATTATTTTTAGAAACTCAACACAGACTCATAATTGTGACTATTTAATAATTATATAATAAAAATCATATATATTTTTTCTTTTTTTTTGTCTTTTTCCTTTCTCTTTTTATTTTTTGTATTGTATATTTTATTATTTATCCTTATACCTCTGTGTTTTTTTTATATATATATTTTTTTGTTTTTGTTCACTTCTTTACAAGAATATGTTATCAAATTGATAACATTCTATTATAGAGTGATAATCAGATGTGACCCTAATGTACTTTAATATTTTATGAAGTTAAATAATTAATAAAAACAGATTACTCATAGAGCTTATAGAATTATCTATAGAACATTGGATCAAAAGTTATGCAAAATTTATACATATATATACAAAAAATTATAATAAAGATGATCAGCAAGACTGCTTAAGTAAAGAAAAAAAAACCAAGAAAATATTATTTTTTATATTATATGTAAATATAAGCAGAATTAAGACCTATCCAATCAGATGTGTAATCATCTCTCTGAGGAATTTGCTATCTTTATCTTCAGAAGTTAACTTTTTACTAATTTTATTACTAATCTTCTTGAGAAGTTTATCAGTACACATATATGGTCTCAGAAAATCTGATTCAAGATGACAATTAACTTTTTGCATCTCTACTTTATTTTGATTATTTTTATAATAAGTTATATTATACTATATCTTTACCTAAAGAAATAACTATTAATTAATTACCTATTTTTCAATATTTATGAATCAAAGTTTGTTGTAACTTAGAATATAAATACCCGGATACCTTACACAGTAATTTATGATATGTTTATTTGGAATCAACCTAGGTAGATTCTAAATACACATTCCAACGTACAACAAATATGCTTTCGATTACTTATTTCGCTGATTAACATTCATAAGCAGAACTTTGTCTGATTGGCTAATAAATCCAATTTAATTTTACATTATTTATACAATTTAAAGTCTTTTAAAAAAACGAAAACCAACCATAATAAAGTAAAAAAAAAACTATATAGAAGGTTTCGTTAGAGTTGTAGAACTCCATGACCAAAAATAAGATCTAATTTTCGTCCGTTTAAAAAAGTTAGTATAGTAATAACTTCCCAAAACCTGATAAAATCAACTTATTAATAAGCTAATTTTTTTAAACGGACAAGAATTAAATCTTATTTTTGACTATGGAGTTCTACAGCTCTAATGAAATCTTCTATATGGTTTTTTTTTTACTTTATTATGGTTGGTTTTCGTTTTTTTTAAAAGTACTCTAAACTGTATAAATAATGTAAAATTAAATTGAATTTATTAGCCATCAGATGAACTTCTGCCTATGAGACTAACATTTTCATATTACAATAGATCAATACAAAAAAAAAAAAAATAGCTTGAAGTTAGAAACTGAAACTCACTATTTCGCAAGAACCTTGTACGTACGTACATATTTTAGTATGCGTGTTGCCTAAAAAAGTATGCAATTTGATTGGATAGAAATATATGACATAATATGATCTAAAATAATATGACCACTGGTCATGACTATATGACCATTCATCATTTATTTAAAGGTTTACGACCTACCTGTCATAACTCATCACTGCTACGTATACAGATATCCACTAAGTTACATCCTTAAATAAGCGTTAGCGATTAGATTTTGAATTTAACTTTAGTGTAATGTTTACGACTTTATTTGTGTAACTTTAAGTTCTCAGAAATACGTTAAACTGCATAAATAAGTTAATTATCTGCGTGCCGAATTTCGCATTAGCGTACGTACGCACTTACCTAAATCGTAAATGGTTCCATACCAAAATTGTATAAATTATTTAACCTTTCTAAAATTTGAAAAAAAATGTCTTTGATATTTATGAGAGTATCAGGGGTCCTAATTCTACTCGTATTTTCAAATTTTGTGAACGCCCTTTGGCCACTACCACAAAACTGGACAAAAGGCACATCACTTCTTCGTGTTTATCCTAGTATCATTATCAAATATGATCCAAGTTTATTAAATTCATATATAGATCAATTAATAGAATCTGCCAAGCATCGGTTGCAAGTATTTTTGTTAGATGAAAAACATCTTTCACCTAATGTTAAATTCCAAATTCCAGAGGATGAAAAATTTGATTCAATATTGACATTATCGTGCATTCAGATTGAAATAACTGATAATAACAAGAGAGATCAGGATGATTTAGAAGAGACAAATATTGATTGGACTTATAATAAAGAAATGAAGGAAGGAATTTCGTTGGGAACAGATGAATCATATGAATTGATAATACCAGATAAGAAAGAAGATGATACAGAACTTGTAGCATATTTAAAGGCGCCGACTGTCTATGGAATTTTACACGGTCTTACCACTTTTTCACAATTATTATATTACAACCGATCAGAGGAAAATTCGGGATTATTCCTTCCATTTGCACCTCATCACATAAATGACTTTCCAAAATTCATGCACCGTGGCCTTTTACTCGACACTTCACGAAACTTTTATCCAGTTAAAGAAATTCTTAAAACTTTAGATGTAATGAGTTGGAATAAAATGAATGTGTTTCATTGGCATATTGTGGATGCTACTAGTTGGCCAGTGGTTAGCGAAAAGTACCCAGAGTTGAGTGAAAAAGGAGCATATGACTCTAAGAAAATGATTTATACAAAACGAGATATCAGGATTGTTGATGAATACGCTAGGACGGTACGTTTTATAACTTTAATTAAAGGATTGGGTGTTCAAGCATAATATAAGGTAGTCAATTATTTATAACTTTTATTTTAGCTCAGAATATAATGCAATCAGTTTTTTTTTGTAAAACGTATTCAGGATGATATATTAAATTGCATAATAATCTGAATACTAAATTGCATTATTTTTACGAGTTAAATAAAAGTGTCTAACGATAATTGGCCATTATCTAAATTGATTCGTTAAGTTTAAAATTTAATAATGATCATATAAATTTTATTATTAATAATCTTAAATTAGAGAGGAATCAGGATTATACCAGAGTTTGATATGCCGGGGCATACACATGCTATAGCCGCAAGCATGCCGGAAATGTATGTTGCGTTTTATTAAAATTCCTTAGTATTTTATTTTTATGAATTGGGCAATTCTATAATTATATTTTACATTGATTTTACCTATTTTTAATTAGTATGACATGTATAGATATGTATCCGGATTGGGATCAGGTAATTCTAAAATCCAATTAATTTTGATTGTTATCTAGTATATGATGTAAAAATGGGATTCTCCACCGGCAGAGTCTTTATAATAAACTTTATATAGAGACTCATTATAACAATTGTATTGACACAAAAAGTATTCTAGTGATCCACCAAGTGGTCAATTAAATCCAGCTATACCAGAAACCTATACTTTTCTTAATGAATTGGTTCCTGAAATAGCGTCTTATTTTACTGACAAATTCTATCACACTGGTGGTGACGAAGTAAACTTGAACTGCTGGGAATCTCTTGCTCAACAAAATGATCATACCAAAGAATCCTTGTTAGAAAAATTCGTGACCAGTCTCTATTCAATAATAGCAAACGAAGGGAAAACACCAATAACGTGGCATGAAATGGTAACAGAGCATAATTTAGAGTTGCCGAAGGATACGGTGGTACAGGTATGGAGGAATAGCGCGATGGTGAAGAAGGTGGTGGAAAAAGGGTATAAGGTTGTGACCGGCAGTGGAGATTACTGGTATTTGGATTGTGGATATGGTGGATGGTATGGTAATAATATCAAGGGGAGAAGTTGGTAAGGATAAGGACCAAAGAAATGGTTAGAACTGAGGATATAAATTATTAAAATTAAAATATTGATTTTTATACTTTCAATTAATTCAGGTGTGATCCATATAAAACATGGCAAAAGATATATTCGTATAATCCTATAGAAGGGTTATCGGATGAAGAAGCCAAATTTGTTATCGGAGGTATTTATCGGAAAAATCACGTTTTTGTCGACTATTGTAACAATTACTATTAACGCAATCCCATAAATTACTTATTTAGGTGAAGTTCTTTTGTGGTCTGAACAATCAGACTCTACAAACTACGAACAGCAATTATGGCCGCGTTCTTCAGCTGCAGCAGAGATTTTATGGTCCGGCCCTGAGGATATTAATGGAAATAGACGAGTACCAGATAAGGATGCATTAAAAAGATTAAATGATTGGAGATTTCGAATGGTCGAACGAGGTGTACGGGCAGAACCATTACAGCCTTTATGGTGTGTTCGTACTGGACGATGCGATATGTAATTATGTAATGTTAGATATATCATTTTAATAAATAGGGTTTTTTTTAGAGGTATGCTTTTATCGATTATAAAACTAGTTGATTATAATATTTCATAATCATGAATAGGTTTTAGTAAGCTGATACTTATTTAAACTAGTTATGTTTACTAAATAATGAGAATTTTCTACTTTGTATAAAAATATATATATGTGTTGTAAGTGGAAACGGAATTAAATTTTTATATAAAACCAGTATTTTGTATGAACACACTTACCCTAACCCTAGTTTACTAGGAAATTCCAAATCCATTTAAATTCCATTTCCACTTACAACATATATATACCATGTTATCATGAAATAATGACATGGGCGTTATTTAGAAAATTGACCATATGAAAATAGCCATGCGCATCCCGAAATAACGTGCACCCGTATAAGGTGTCAACCTGGGTGGAAGCAGTTACATAATAATTTGAAAAACCAGGTCTGAGAAAATTATCCTGTCGTAAGATAACGCTCATGCGTGTACTCTAAATAACGCGCATTTATTCAAAATAATGTGTAGGTGGGCGTTATTTTGCGACAATACGCATGGTGTTAGATTTAAATAATACCGATATTATCGCTGCTAAACTTACTGACAGCATATGTTCAGATATAGTAAACAAAATAACTATAACTTACAAATAACCAAATAACAATATATTGAATAATAATAATAGAATAAATTAAATTAAATAAATTATGTTTATTTTATGCTCCAGACTTATATCGGTTATAAACATATATTTGGCTAAAACTAAAAATCGGAAACCGACACATATAGCTATTAATACATATAAATATTAATACATATAACTTTAATACATATAATTTTTAATTCATTACTATGCCTTTGCTGTTGTATACAGACTTTCTAAATGACCTCTATAAATGCATGCATAAACACATCTAAATTAACCGCCCTAATATCACCCAACCCACAAAATACGTTATAATCAGAGCACAGAATCAATAACGATAATGATAAAATGTCGCTAATAAAAAATTTGCCTAACACATTAGTCATGTAATAAGTTAATATCAGATCTTCTCTTGCCGGTACATTGCGATTAACTGTATAGCGAACCTTTTTTTTTTAAAAAAAAAATAAAGACAGTAAATTATTCTACACGGAACTCTTGACAATTTTTATTATAAGAATGGCCGATTTGGTTAGCTATTAGGAGAAATTATTAGAACAATATAGATATACTAATTTTGAAGATTCTAATATATATATCGATACAGTACCATTTTAATGTTAAAGCTTTAATGATAGTCGAATAATTTAGAGTGATTTCGAGGGGAAACCAGACCTGGTTAGACATATATGATAAGTAAATAAATTTGACATATGTCGGATAAATAATGAATAATAAGGTTTCTCATTACAATACTTTAAAAATTAAAGAACTTTATCGTCATCGTTATTGATTCTGAGCCTTATGACGTAAACTAGATTTTTTGTAGGCGATACTAGAACGGCTTATAAAAATTTTCAAAGAAAACTCTTAAAAATTCATACAAATAACGCTACCTTTTAAAAGTATTTTGAATCAAACATTTTCATAATTTAACGAAAATCGGGTGATGCTGAAATCGTATGATGTTGATGCAGAAATCGGATGATATTGAAATTTGGGGTCTCGATTTAAAAATATAAACATTACCAACCTATATTCTTATCGCATTTAACAATTCTAACCTAAATCATAGCTTAATCATAAAAAAATGCTCCTCTATCCCTTAAACTGTCAATTTAACTACGTATCTACTACGATTTAGACTACAAATTCAATAGCTTAATCACAGATCAATCATGAAATTTCCAAGCAAATTTGCCTGGAAAACTGTTTAAGGGATAAAATTCATTAAATAGGATTATCTTCAACTTATACTAGTGTTGTTATTAGACCGGCTAATTGGACATGATTAATTAGACATAAGTCTAAAATCATCTTGAACATATGGCATAAAGGCTAAGGTTAATTAGACTTGAGGCTAAGGCTAATTAGACAAGGGCTAGGGCTAATTAAAAAAATATTAGATTTAAGGCTAGTAACAACACCGGTTTATACTATACGTATTAGTTTTGCAAAGATGTTCTTAATTGATATAGATGTTTAATGTATATCTATCTGTTAACAATATTCAAGGTGTTCATTTCATACTATGACCGAAGGTTGTTTAATTAATAATCTTCATAATTATATGGTATTTTTTATAATTCAACGTTGATAGTTACATAATAAATACAATAAATAAATATAGAAAAGGTACATGCTAAAACCGTGTAGCATTAGCACATCCCTATAAAGCGAATAAAACACATATAACAAACCATCTTTTTTTAAAAAAATACACAATGATTACACAAAAAAGAAATAGTATATTATTTTTTACCACCCAATCTAGCAGCTTTCTTCTTTTTCCATACTTCGATAATAACTTCTTTGACTTTTTGTTCACCATCCATCCAATTTTGTTTAGCTAATTTAACAGTTTTATCAACTTGTGCAGAGGTATAAATAAAATTATTAAAAGCCATGAATTTTTCAGTAGCTGGTGTAAATTTCGGGTCAACTTTATCATTAGGTAAATATGGGAAATAACATAATGTAAATGGATGTTCTGCAGGTGGACAATAACCATTACTTTTACCATTTGGCGTATAATCATGAATTTCACAATATTTGTTGGTAAGATCACGAGGATTACGCTCAAATCCTCTAATTGCACAAAATTCTGTTTGTTCTTTTTCAAATAAATCACGACCAACAATGACACTAGAACAATCAAAACCAATTACAACATCAATTTTTCTTGCAGGGCGAGACATTGGATAAACCGGTGAGTCATTGGATACACCTGCATCCATAAGACTAAGAGTTTTTGTATTCGTAATACCAAGTTTATATGGCGGAGGATCAAGATGATAAATGAAGTTATGATTTTTTGGAGGTGGTACAGGTTGGTGACCTTCAAAAATACGTTGTTGATCTTCACCCATTTTTTTCATTGCCTATAAAATAATCAAGTAAAATAGATAAATCAATAAATATATATATGTGTGTGAAATATTTCGGTTGTTATAATATGATAATTTCAACTTACATGTTCATACACATTCTTAAATTCATTTTTAGCCCATCCGTTTCCAAGAGCAAGTTCAAGCTGATTAATTTCGAAAAGAAGAGGTGCAGATGGAGCAGATCCGAATAAACTAAATGACAAATTAAAGTAAATACTTGAATGAATAATAAAGTTGAGAAAGATAAATAGCTTACCCAATCAATAAACTAAGGTTTTGTTCGGGTACACGATTAGTACTTTTACCCAATTCAAACGTTCGACCAAATGCCCATGTGGGAATATATGCTATTTTTATGTTTGCAATAAAAAAGTTTTTTTTTTGATTAAATTAAATTTAAGCTAATATTGTTAAATAGATCAGAACTTACCAGGAATTTCTTCAGTTCCCATTTCATAAGGAGTAACTTCATACCATTGAAAATGGTCTTTCTCTTCTTTATGTTTTGCCCAAACTTCTGCATAATTTTCGACCAAAGCTTGATCTTTTTCATCAAGTTCATCTTTCCATGGACGAACTTGATAAGCACTAAAAATTTTATTTTATTAATCATATTATAATGAAGCTAAATAAATATAATCAAAAAATAAAATAAACATACCAAACATAAATAGGTAAAAGATCTTTTCCACCATCAATATATTTCCTTTGCTTACTCAATTTGAAATCTTCATGTTGTTTTGATGGATCCGAACCTAACAATACTTTTGTAGCCAATAATGAACCAAATAGATCCATAATCCTTACTTTAGCTCCTGACTCTTTTTTCTGTTGCAATCCACCAAAGCAATGTTCGACAGCAGCCTTAGGATTAAGATTGTGAGCGAGATCTTTAAAAACACCACGAACATCAGTGATACTATGAGTAAGTTTCGATTTATAGTAAGCCAATACATCATCAACTGGGTGATTGTCAGAGCTACGAGCCAATGAGGTATATAACATTGCCAAATTCCAACAACTACCACTAAGGCCTATAATAATCGTATAATACAATTAATTTAAAAAATAAGGCAAATTCAACAAGTTATTTCAAAATATACTTGCCAGAAATGTAAGTGCCACAATCATATAATCCACTATCTTTCATGCCGCTAAAATATGCTGAAATATCAAAAAAAATGTATTAATCAATAAATGATATCGAAGATTATTCGTATAAAAAGAATTATTTACCGGTGACAACTATCATTGCTCTAAAACCACCACCACTTCCCATGAAAGCTATGGTTGGAATATCATCAGGATGGATTTCACTGACATCAACTCCAATATATTTAGCAAAAGCTTCACGAATAACATTTTTTCTATCCTTGACAAATTGTTTTTCTTCATCACAAAGTTCATTAGATCTCCTTAATGATTATAGGTTTATTAGTGATTAAATTACAATCTACTTTTTTGACCTTGAAATAATAATAATAATTCCAATCACCTCACAGTAGCATCAAGTTTAAGCTCTGGATGATGGTTTTCATCATTAAATTTTTTATTTACAACTTCATCCAAATGATCGAAAGCGGATAGAACTTCTCTATCACGCATGATGTTTTCAGGTACAAACGATTTGATTGCATGGCTAATTTGAGTACCGAGTTGGGAAAACCAACTGTTTATTATAAGGTTAGATATTATTATACATAAAAATATAAAATATATAATATATTATAGGTTATTTAAAATATATACTTTTCTTCTTCTTTCTTTTCGTCTTTATTAGACATGATTATATTTTTTGGTTATGAAGGGTCGTTATTTTTCCTTTATGAGAAAAGGTCATTGATGTTGTTAGTAAAAAAAATTATATATATTGATAGCAGATGAGAAGACTCAAAGGTTTGCTGCGCCACAAAATTGAATATTGCACGTCGCATTCATTGAACATTAATGTCCAATATCCACAGAAAATTAATATTGTACAATACGTTCATTGGAAACATTAACGTTAAGATTAGATGTACGATGCATAAATTTCCGATAAACGGTAAACAGAAATTTTAAAGATGCTATCGGATTTTAAATTTCTAGCACCGTTAATTAAACGTATAAAAATCTTAAACCATAAAAATACCTTTAATTTCGTTAAATGTTTCTTCGATGCTATATCACATCAAGGAGGAAAAAGTGGCTTTTAAGTTTGAAATTTCAAAAAGATTTACAGTAGTACGTGAGTACAGTCACGATACAGCAATAACAGATTTGAATATTCATTTGTCCATATTCGGGAAACATACCAAAAAGTTTCCAATCGAGGTTTCAATCATCATTTAACGTTTATAATATCCAATCGGTAAATTTTTTTCTGTCGCCCATACATTTTTATTTGCTAACATAACAAATTTGATTTGATTGTTATAACGATAATCGGTTAGCTTGGGGTCCGGACAACCCGGATTATTCCGTTTAATAAGTACATTATCATTAACTCTGATATCTGAACCTGCCTGTTATATTAATTGACATTGTACACTTAACAGTTAGGACAATTATGCTTAAATTTAATTTTACTTAGTTTGTAAATAAAAGAAATTAGGCTATCACTGTTAATGGGCGGGACGGAACAAGTTCAGAACAATCGAAATGTACAACATCGGTTGTAGGTGGATTTGGAATTCTGGAGATTCGGGAACATGATTTTGGGTCTTAAGTAAGAATTTGAATGAATTTTGAAATTCTTGGAATTTAATTATGAGGTAAGCTCCGTTCCTACTTAGCGATAACTAGCCTTTATTTGTTTTTATAGCCGAAAGTAAAAAAGATTTTGTGTTACAGTCTTTATAATTTCTCGTTAACAAACATCATCAGTTATCCGAATATACATCAATCCTAATAATAATCAAATTTCTCTATAAAGAACTGATGATTCTGAAAAAACCAAGATGGAGAGGAAATAATATAATCATATTATTTCCACTTAAGTCAGGTTATTATCATTATAGGATACGCATGATGCATTGCTCGAAATACGCTGAGTTTGTGAATCACGCATGCGGGTGGGAATGATCTATATTTTTAGTGGTTTGATATAATTTGATAAGTAAAATGATCTTGAATTCAATGATAATTATAATCCTGATATGGCTTTCGGTTATGAAACATGTTGCTCGAAGTACACAAAGTTTGTGAATTGCATGTACCAAGATACATGCATATGAAAAAAATTCGTGCTTTATAAAGTGTGGTCTGGATTTGGATTCATGTACACATGAAATTTAACACATTGCCCATTAAAGTATACATGTTTCATACTAATTTGGTTCATGATCGAAGGAAGATTCGTTTATAAATCAGGGCTTTAAAATCGTCATAATCAATCATTGTAGCAAAGATCTGCTGAATATTTTCGCCCTCGACCATAAATGGAATGAGCAGTTTATCCGATCCCTGTATATAATTTATAAATTAATAGTATTGCTATCAATGTTAATAAAGAACATGTAAATTTAATACCTTCATTTTTTGAAATTTATTTTTTAAACGCTTCAAACAATTCTCTTTTCCAGCAGTTAAAAGATTTTTTTTTTCTTCAGACTCAAGTGAATTTACAACTTTTATTAGTGCATTTATTTCATCTTCAGTAGTACATAAGGAAAATACGCATTACAAATCGAAAGTCAGATTAATGTGATTAAGTTTTATTAACTAAACATCTCTTCTATATACATTTGCTATTATCTATGGCTTCTTTCCATTCTGCTATAGAATATCTAATTTACTTCAGCAAAGTTTTTTTCAATCTAAGTAAAAATAATTATAATATTAATATAATGTCTAGACACATAAATCGATCGATTTTTAGCAATTAACATTTATGCCAATTACACTTACTGCAAGCTAATAACATAGATGTCTAATTACACCTACTTTGACATATATGTATCGATGTATACAGTAATTACACAACATAGGTGTCTCCAATTACACCTACCGTGGATAATATAATGTTGATATTAACTTGCTAGATGTTATTGAATCAATGTTTATTACTTCTAACTATAGATGTGCCATTTATATGATATCTGAATTTTTTTCGCGTACAGCATGTACAGTACGTATAGTTGTATAGTGTGTACTGCATACGTAATATACATAATATATGTAGCATTTATAAATCAGTTATATGCAACATTGTGCAAGGAATAATTTTTGTTAGAATGCAAAAGACAGTTTATTAATCAAAAAATTGAGATAGGGATACTTTAATGATTTGTTCTAGAATATTCTAAAAATTTTTTTTGCGTACTGTACTGTACGCGGCACATCACTACTTCTAACATACAGGCTGGATATCATCATTTGATAGAAAAAGAAAAATAAATTATACTGATCTTCAAATTTTTATATGCGTTGCTATTTTTAATTTTGAATCATCTTGTTTAAAATTTTTTCTTTTACGATAAAGGTTATTAATTTCATTGTTGTATAAGTGTATAATAAAATGATTTTAAATATCGTTGTTTCTCAAAATATTTAAGAAAATTTAAAAATGACAATGGTTTAGGTATTGTAATTTCATTATTTTCTTTATAATAATTTGCAAAAATATCTTTAACATTCTTTCCATTAATCATAGCTTTGGTAAGAAAAAAACGATATTGATTTTTAGATTATGAATCGATTTTTATAGTGATAAATGTTTGTTTTGATTTTTAAAATCAGCCAATCACGTCAAATCGCAGATTTTGGGTACATTCATATTAATATTATACATAGCAACCATATAAAAATTTGCAGTCCTGCAATAATCTATGCTAAAATTTCATTGGCCAAAAACAAACCACAGATCGTCATGCATTCTCGATTAAAAAATTAACTTTGATGTTGGGAATGTTAGTAGTAAGGGCCCTGCATATAGCAAAATTTTGCAAGGAATTTTTTTTTGCTAAAATGCAAAAGCGGTTTTATAATCAAATTTTGAGTTATGGACGAGTTTTTAAAAATAGCTAGCAGTTTGTTTTATTTTTACATTATATCTAATTATATAATTGGTTTAAATTACATGTTCACAAACATTTTATGCAATTGCTATGTATAATTATATTAATGTTCTACATACTGCATAAGATAGTTGTGTATTAAAAATCAGAAATGAAAGCAAATATAGTAGCTAACAAATAGTTTAAATAATATACAAATGAGAACTGATCTAGATTTCATTAATTCTATTAGTTCATTTGGTATATCCAATAAATTAAATATCAAACTAATCTCTCATATATAATTACTAATTCTCAAATTTAGGTAAGTTTTGGTCACTCTTGTTGGTTTAGGTTGCAGATAAATTAGTCTGAGTTTCTATTCTTTTTATAATATTTTAAAAATAAAATTGTATTTTATATAAATTCTCAATTAAATTTTCAATAAAGATAAAGACATGATCTTATTATTAATATTAAAAAAAAATATTATTAATATATTATAAAATATTTAATATACATGACATCGTAATTAAAAAAATAAAAAATTATATATTGATTGGTAATTGAAAGATATATAACAATATAAATCATTCTTGTTAATTTATAATAATTATAATATTAATTAATATATAAAAAAAGAATTTTACTAAAATGCACCTATGGTGTTTTACACCTATGCATGTATTATCTCAAAAACTAACTAATTAATTAGTACAAGGTGTTCTAAGTAAAAATGGTCTATGCTTCTGAAAACTCTTTCCAAACCCTAAAACTAACTTAAAAACTATCCTAATATAAAAAAATTTAAAGCAAAAATTTCTATAACAAAACTTATAAAAACTTAAAAATTTTAAAAAACATAATAAAAACATATAATAGGTGCAAAACACTATAGATGCATTTTATAATAATTGTAAAAAAAAATATAAATCAATATATAACCTAAAATGATTATAAGTAATATATAACCTAATTAATTAGAATCATGTAGGTAATTTATTAATTATAATTACTTAGTTTATATATTGATTATAATCAATATATAGTCATAAAATAATTATAATTGATATGTACTACTGTAATAAAATTTACTAAAAACTAGCAAGCTGTAGTAATTTTAAATATATAAATGCTAAGTAGAAGATCTTTTATTTAAAGAAAAATAAAATAAATAAAAATAACTAAAAAAAAAATAAGAAATAAATATTTAAAAGTGAAATTTAAATTTAATAACCTTCTAGATACTATAAGGTACAACAATAGAACTAGCTTTTAAACTAATCCTACTGTCTAGTCTGTGTAGATTGGGCATAACAAAATGTTTATCCTATACAAGAATTATTAGACTTTAAAACTTAAAAATGTCTGTAGAATATAATTAAAGAAAGAAAAGCCTTAATAATCAGACTGTTTACAGCTATATATGCCTTTTAAATTTCAATAATATAAAACTAGAATTGTCAAATAACTAATTAAGAAAAGCAGCTATTCACTTTATATTATTATAAGAAAAAGAATAAAATAAATACTATAAAGAGAGTATTTGCCAAATAACTAATTAAGAAAACCAGCTTTTTACTTTATATTATTATAAGAAACAAAAAAGAAAAATAAA